GTAGCAGGGACTGCAGGCATCTGCCACAGTGCCCGGCTATTTTTTTGTTGCAGTTTGGCTGGGGCCCAGTTTGAACCCACTACCCACGGTATATGGGCCCAGTGCCCTACCCACTGAGCCACAGGTGCCTCCCCTTGAGTATATTATTTTGTATCACGTTTTTCAAAATTTATGTTGGTCCTCTTGTAATTAGTTGAGGTCTTAGCCTGGATACCTTTCTAATGACTCTAATAAGGATTTTGCAATAAGCTATCCACAGTTTATAGTCTAATACTCATAGACCCTTATTGATAATAGTAATTCAGATATTCCATCGATCAGATTATATTCACATCTGCTCACCCAGACACATACTAACTGAAGCCTATAACATAGACAAAAAATGGCTAGCCAAAAAGCCAGGGTTGTTCTGTCTCCAACACATTTATAAAGGAGTGCAACCAATTTTTATCATTACCCTTCAGTGAATTCTGATTGTTTTTGTTTGTTTGAAATTTTTAAAATTCTGCTGCTTCTAGGTATAAAGAAAACATTCCAGTTTTCAAAGTAAATTAGTAAGTGGCCCTCCTAAAATAGATTCCTAGAGATACAGCATCCAAAGTGCTGTATAAATCAAATTTTGGAGATGACGTCTGCTGGGAATCTGAGGATTGCTTGCATGTTCAACACAGCTTATTTATTTTTTTATTTTTCTTTCTTTCTTTCTTTATTTTTTTGAGACAGAGCCTCAAGCTGTTCCCCTGGGTAGTGCTGTGGCATCACAGCTCACAGCAACCTCCAACTCCTGGGCTCAAGCGAGTCTCCTGCCTCAGCCTCCCAAGTAGCTGGGACCATAGGCACCTGCCACAACGCCTGGCTATTTTTTTTTTTTTTTTTGGTTGCAGCTGTCGTTTGGCGGGCCTGGGCTGGATTCGAACCCGCCACCTTAGGTGTATGTGCCTGGCGCCTTAGCCACTTGAGCCACAGGCACCGGGCTAGTTTTTCCATTATTAGTAGAGATAAGATCACATTCTTACTCAGGCTGGTCTCAAACTCCTCAACTCAAGCAATCTGGCTTCCCAGAGTGCTAGGATTACAGGTGCGAGCCACATTGCCCAGCCTGAATTCAATATTTTTAAATAAAAGCATTATATTAGTTATAATAGCATCTACACATGTTTCAAAGATAATCAAAGCAATATCTGTGAAGCGGTGTTAATTAAGAAAATAGTATGTAGAGGAACTCACAGGTGCCTGCTGGCACTCCACACATTATAGTTTAAAATATAGGGCTTTTGATTGAAACTGTATTTTTTTTAATTTAAAAAGAACACATATATCTTACATATAAATACACATTTATATCTCTCTTATCTTATTTAACTCCCAATCCTGTAACGTAGATACTATTATTTTAAATGAAGAGACTAAAGATAGGTTGGAACAACCATGGCGACTAGCTGAATGCCATCCTCCCCAGAGATGCTGCAGCAAGGTGCAATCTGGATATTTGGTCTTTCTTGACTTAGTTATTTGATCAGGCCTACTTACATTTGGCAGGTGGTAGAAGAAGTGTCCCGTCTTCACCATCAGGAGCAGCATCAGACCTGAGCCTACCAGAGATGCAAACTGAGGAGACAGAGCCGGTTGGAGAGAAACCATCAGGAACATACTGGTCCCTGTCTGCAACTGAGGCCTTCTGCTTGATGAGATGCATGTCATTTTTTCTTAAAAGGAGCTGGCTTCAGCATAAGTGCATTTTTGTTGAACTAACATTTTCAGGTCTTATTGAGTGCTAAACATATACTAGGTACTCAATAAATATTTCTTGAATGAAGGCACCAATGCTCTCTGAAAGGCTCCATGTTGTCCTGGGTATCTGAATCTTTACTGCCACAGCTCTCTGCTGTGAATCTGAAGTTTCCTAAAATCTGATTTGCATTCCCTCCTAACTTTGACCTTGTTTTGCCCAATTTAAAAAAGTCCTAGTAGACTCCTTACTGACAGCCCTAAAATCCCAAACATCCTGCTTCCTATATAAATAGCCCACTCCATACCCTTCTGTTTGGAGCTTGGATAATGATCCATTTAACTGCTTCAGTGATGCTTCTCATCTTAAAAAAATACAATGATAATCCTATCTCATTTTTCTGCTTCAGTTTCTCTATGCTTTAGCATAATAATAATAAAAAAAAAAGCCACAAACATGAGTCAAGGCTGTATATAGCAGCTCTGGATCCTATCCCAGCTGGGCTCAGTGTCACTTGGTAAGCAGTGATTCTCACTTGGCAAATAAAGTGGAAAGCTAAGAAACATGGTTCCTTCTATAAGCCTAAGGCTCTCTGGACATAGTCTTGAACTCACTGTATCCTCTATTGTTAAATTTCCATTTTTAAGCTCCTACTAATAAAAATAATATAAATCAGTGTCATGGGGATTAGGAGCTGGGTTACTATAACCAAAAATGAAAATAATGGCATATAAGGGCTGGGTGTGGTGGCTCACGCCTGTAATCCTAGCACTCTGGGAGGCTGAGACAGGTGGATTGCCTGAGCTCAGGAGTTCAAGACCAACCTGAGCAAGAGTGAGACCCCCCATCTCTAAAAATAGTCAGGTGTTGTGACAGGTGCCTGTAGTCCTGTAGCTACTTGGGAGGCTAAGGCAAGAGGATAGCTTGAGCCCGAGAGTTTGAGGTTTCTGCGAGCTATAACATGATGGCACTCTATCCAGGGTGATAGAGTGAGACTGTCTCAAAAAAAAAGAAAAAAGAAAGGAAAAAGGAAATAATGACCCATACTAGAAAGAGTCGCTCAGATCTAGTCTACTAAAGGATCACTCAGCAATGATTCTTAACTTTTCTCTATTTTTTATGTGGGGAAAAGATACTTTCCTACTGGATTCCCTATCATTACTCATGTCTATTTGCCATATGAATGTGTTGCTAAAAATAAGTGCAATGCAATCAATGTCCTTCTTCCTTCTTTCTCCATCCCAGCTGATTCATACCTAAAGTGAGTGGCCTAACATGGAAAAGCAGGACCACATGAGAGTAATGCAGGGAGAAGGATTCAGGAAATGAATTGATCACCAGCTGAAACTTACGAAGTTTTGATTGCAAACATTTCATACACTGTGGATCTGAAGCAGGTAACTGAGCCCATAAGCCCCTCCAGCCAGTTTACATATCAGCCTGTTGCTGGATCTAATTTATGTCTCTAGCTTTAGTTGGTCTTCACTGGCACTATAGAAAAGAAACTACTTTGATCAGTGCAAGAAAATATATCAGGCCTTTTCTTTCCCATCATGTCTTTTCTTCAAAATTTTTCTGATTATTTTTAAGGAAACAGAGATAAGCAGGCAGCAAAATAAGTTATATAAAATCTAGACTAAAATGGGTACAAACTAAGACACCAAATCTCATAAAATTAGCTGCTCAGAGAGGTGTGCAGGCCTGGTGAGAATTATGTATCCCTCTCAGCTGCATATTCATAGGAGTGGACTTTGGGATCCCAGGACCACCCTCAGGGACATGCCCGATGGCTCTAGGATCTCTTCCTGATTTAGGCCCTGAACAGGGTCTAAAAACAGCGAGCACTGTAGAACTGTGTCTCATGCATGTTTTACTTTTCTTCTCTGATATTCTATCTACTTTTCCAAGCTTTCTTTCTTTTTTTTTGAGACAGCATCTCAAGCTGTCACCCTTCCTAGGTAGAGTGCCTTGGCATCACAGCTCAAAGCAACCTCAAACTCTTGGGCTCAGGAGATTCTCTTGCCTCAGCCTCCCAAGTAGCTGGGGCTATAGGCGCCTGCCACAATGACTAGCTATTTTCCACAATTTCTTAAACAAAGATTGACTGCCTTCTCTCCTAGGGTTCAAAACAATGTGAGTTCCCATAGTTATAGCCACTATCAACATGCAGGTTGCTCCATATGCAGTGGGTTCCATGAAGTAAGATAGCAGATTGTTGAATGCCCCCCCCAGGCCAGGAATTAGAGACCTTGGGTCAAAGCTATGATTTTTGAACATCTCTTAAGTAACAGGCACTGTAGTGGACACAATTAGTGTCTAATTTAATTCTCACAATGAAAAGATTAGTTTTATCCCCATTTGCCCAAGGTCGCGCCCATCTAGGAAGCATCGTGTCAGATTTTAAAGCTCCTGACCATCTGACTCCAAAACCCAGGCTGTCTTCACTGCCTTCATTTGCTTCAAGGAGCACAACCAAATTTCTCTCTTTTATAATAATCCATTTTTAAAGCAGTTCTGGAAGCCTGGGCAAAAAGTCCAGTCCAGGGAACAAGGAAAGGAATCAATCATGAAGAACAGGGAAGTATAATGATCTGAAGCAGACAAGGAGGATGGAGTGGGGGGCAATTCAACTGGCCATAGGCCTAGGGCTCTTTGCAGCCTCCCCCACCCATGAGCCAGATCTGCCTACACCTCAGGCTGAGCATGAAGCTAGAAGAGCGAGTAGGTTTTGCTGCGACCAGTGGAGACAAATAAGTTCTGGCCAAGGAAAAATTAAAGCGAAATCCAGACATGGATACAGAGTTTATACTTATACCAGATAAAAAATAAAAATAAAATGATGCTTGGTAGCTGGACATTTTTGAGAGGTTCAGAGTCAGCCCCCTACTTTTCTTTCCTATAGTACTAAGGATCTTTGAAGAAATGGGGGTACTGTCAGACAGAATGAATAAAAAAGGCCTCAGAGAAAAGGGGTGCAGAGAACATCCCACTGCTATGAGAAAAAGAAGACTGAATAAGTCCCTGAGGCCTTTTCTAATCCAGATCGGAAAATCAAGAGTAGAGTCTGGGCAGCTGCAATATGTAGGGCCAGGAGCCAGCAGCATTCTCTGGTTAAGCCAGGGATTTGCACTGAGCATATTAAGGTTTCAGGGAAGGGCTACCCAGCATCGCTATGGTCATGCCTCCCTGTGGCAGGCCACTACACTTCATTGAGATGTGTTACTGGTGGGAAATGTTCTGCACAAGTAAACAAGATGGCAGCTAAAAACAGAATGAGAGCCATAGGCTGCCTTTGAGACAGACTCTCTGTCCAGCAGGCTAAAATGCTAAAAATGGGCATATTCAGACATTAGAAATCCAATCATCTGCTGAGGCCCTCCCAAAATTTGGCTTTTCTGTTCCCAGAATCAGTGAGTGCAATTGGCAAAGCTATTCTTCCTCCAGCCCACATTGCATGCATAGGATGGAGTCCTGTCTTTACAACAGCTCTGAGGTTGAACTGTAACCTTTCTTTCTCCTTTCATCAATGCATGCCCTAACCTCCTTTAGGTACTCCATGAAAGTCCCACTTCTTCCATATTCTCCTTGCAATACTTAAAGCACTTTTTGTTTATTGCCCTCATTCTGCACTTAGTTTTCCTTGCACTTTGATTTAGTTTTTTCCAGTTGTGTGCATCTTGTCCCCCAAATTTATTTATTTATTTTTATTTTGTTATTTTTTTTAGATAGAGTCTCACTTTGTTGCCCTCGGTAAAGTGCTATGGCATCACAGCTCACAGCAACCTCAAACTCTTGGGCTGAAGCAATTCTGTTGCTTCAGCCTCCTGAATAGCTGGGACTACAGGTGCCCGCCACAATGCCTGGCCATTTTTAGAGATGAGGTTTTGTTCTGACTCAGGCTGGTCTCTACTCTGTGCCTCCTAGAGTGCTAGGATTACAGTTGTGAGCCACTGCACCTGGCCTTTGTCTCCCAAATTTATGTTATGCTTTTATATTGAATAAACAAAGCGTGTCTTAAAAAATTAGTGGAACGAATCTCTGGAATTGCCATTTCTATTTCTTCTTATCATAAAACCCTATTTTTTTTTCTTTTCTTTCTTTCTTTCTTTTCTTTTCTTTTTCTTTTTTTTTTTTTTTGAGAGAGGGTCTCACTCTTTTGCCTGCGATAGAGTGCAGTAGGGTCATCATAGGTCAATGCAACCTCAAACTTCTGGGCTCAAGCAATCCTCCTGCCTCACCCTCCTAAGTACCTGGGACTACCGGGGCATGCCACCACCCCTGGTTAATTTTTCCACTTTTTATATATATGGTACTTTTTTTTTTTTATAGTTTTTGGCCAGGGCCAGGTTTGAACCTGCCACCTCCAGTATATGGGGCTGACACCCTACTCCTTGAGCCACAGGCACTGCCCTCCACTTTTTATAGACATGGGGTCTTGCTTCTGTTCAGGCTGGTCTTGAACTTCTGAGTTCAAACAATGTTCCCACCTCAACCTTCCAAAGTGCTAGGATTATAGGCAAGAGCCACTGCCCCCAGCCAAAAACCCTCTCATTTTGGCTCCAAATTTCTGCATATTTGTATAGAACATTTTTCTTGTTTTTCTTTTACTTTTTTTTCCCTTTTTTTTTTTTTTGAGACAAGAGTTTCACTCTGTTGCATGGATAGAGTACCAGGGCATCATTATAGCTCGCAACAATCTCAAACTCTTGGGCTTAAGTGGTCCTCTTGCCTCAGCTTCTCGAGTAGCTGGGACTACAGGTGCACACAACACCTGGCTAGTTTTTTTATTTTTTAGTAGAGAAAGGGGCTTGCTCTTGCTCAGGCTAGTCTTGAACTCCTTAGTGAACACAAACAATGTTCCCACCTCAACCTCCCACAGTGCTAGGATAACAGGTGTGAGCCACCGCACCCAGACAGAACATCCTTCTTTTTAACATAGCCCAAATTCCTTCTGTTTGTCAAGCAGTAATGGAAAAGGACAATGTGTCTGGAAGAAGTTCTGTGACAAGAAGACTCAGTCCAGATAAAATGATATGATGTAATCTTACTCTAGACCTGTGCTCTTGCCCTTGCCTATTTATCTTTCTGACTTTTACTAGCTTTTATCTTATACATCATCATAAATTTGCCCATGGACTGTGACATTTTATCTTTCCCCACTGAAATTTAGGGTCCATCCTTCTGGCACATCAGTTTCTGAACACGGCTATACCTTCTTAGTATGTTTCCGCAGCATAAGCTTGTCTCTGACCACTGCCACTGCTTCTCTGCCACCTGAGTCCTGATTCACTCCCTAGGATTACCCTAGTTTCAGTCGTGATAGCTTTCTGACATTTCATCATGCTGCCTAGCTCAGATGGGACACCTCTCATGTTACTAGGTTGTAACTTTTGTCTAGCTAGTTCAAAACTCATAAACATTGGAATCATAAAACTCATGCTTGCAATTAGTTTGCCTTTTGAGTCTTTTCTATTACCATTCTCCCTTGCCCCTTCCCTCACCTAAACATTTAGGTTACCAATTCAGAATACCTGAAGAGAGTCTGACCTAGATAATTTTCTCTTATACAAAAGTAGAACAGCCACAGATTCCCTAGGCTCTCATAGACAAAGCCCTGACTCTCTATTTTGAAAGCCCCTTGTCATGCCCTTTGAGGAAACCAGGAAAATTTTTAGTTTGCTGCCAGTGTGGAAAGAGTTGAATTAGTGCTTTCCCGGAGTAGGTATGAGAATGCTGCTCTCCAGAGGGAAAACAAAATGTCAATCGGTGATAAGTTTAATTTAAATATTGTTATCCTTAGGTTATTACATAGAAAATGGGCTTTTGTGAGCTAATATACGGAAACCTCTCTAGAGGTTTCTATTTCTATAGAAAATGACTTTAAGTTTCACATTAATATGTAACTTTCAAAACAAAATCTGAGCAAAAATTAAGGCAAGCATGGAATCCAAATTCTTCCAAGAAGTCTTTCCCATCTAGCATATCATTAAAACAGTAACAAGTTTAAACCTGTATCATCCCCTTCAACAAATATACATATAATTGACACAAATTTCTTTTCTACATTAGAGATCAAATTCTATTTCAACACACCTGTTGTCTTCCTCCACTTTTATCCTGGATAATAGTCCTGGCAATAGCACCAGTAAACACAAAAGATCTGAAAAATGAACTGGCAACATTGCAAAGTCCAATGGTCAGTAAATCCTGTAAAGAAACGGCAGGTATTTTAGGACCATTCTTTCTTGAAGAATGATGATTTGATTTTGAGCTAAAGGTTTACTGTTTATTTCTTATGTATGAAGATAGGGTTTATATCTCTTCAAATAACAGATAGAAATATTGTTAGAAAGAACAAAAGGATGGCAAATCTGATTTTCTAAATTAAATTGAATCTTCATTTCAGCTAATGATCACAAGAAACATACCTTTTCAAGGTGAGAAAATGAAGTCTCTTGCCTTTTTCTTCTCTTTCCCATGATCACAAGGACTTAGAATGGCACAGTGTTCTTCTTTGCTCTTCCTTCTCTGCTATCCTAAAGGTCAAACTGGGACACCTATTGCTTCCATATTTCTAGGGAAAAAGCTAAACTCAGGGTAGCTGGAGATTTCCCTTAAAAAACATAAAAACAAAAACCAAGGACTATTTCTTTTTCTTTAAGGCCAACTCAATTATTTTAGTAGGTAGGGTTTTATACAGGATAGTCCACAGCATTTCTTATTGTGCCTTGGTATACGGTATACTCCTTGACCAAGTATAAGGACTTGGTAGAAAGCAAGATAAAATTGAGAAAAGTGGGACTCTCCTAGATTAACAACGTGATGTCATGTTATCTTCTTGCCTTGCTGCATCATTTCTGTTCTAGGGGAATAACACCCATCTTAATTCAAGTGGCTTCAAAGTTAACTATCCCTCACCTCTCAAAAATCATTTTCTGATTACAGTTCAAATTACAGTCCAAGTGACTCTCTGATTAAAGAAGAAAGCAGTCTTCATGTTGGCAGGAGGCTCAGATTAGAGAACAAACACGGTTTAAGGGCCAGAGGAAATAATAGTCTTTTTACCTGGTTGGAACTGACTCTGTAGTTATGAAGACTGGAAATCTTCTTGCCCAGAAAAATGAGCAGAAAGGAGCTCACGAAAGATAAGGACAAGGCTTGGAAAATTATTCTGGGAAGAATGGAGAAATCTGGCTTTACAGGAAACAGGAAGCTGGAATAAAACAGTAAAATTATTCCTAGACTGCAAGAATCTTTTTTTTCTTTCATGATAGAGTCTTCCTCTGTTCCCCTAGGTAGAGTACTGTGGCATCATCATTGCTCACAGCAACCTCAAACTCTTGGGCTCAAGCGATCCTCCTGCCTCAGCCTCCTAAGTAGTTAGGACTACAGGCATCTGTCACAGCCTGGTCAGTTTTTCTAGTTTTAGTAGAGATGGGGTCTTGCTCTTGCTCAGGCTGGTCTCAAACTCCTGAGTTCAAGCAATCCACCTGTCTTGACCTCCCAGAGTGCTAGGATTACAGGTGTGACCACCATGCCTGGAAAATAGCAGGAATCTTTTATTGGCACCTCCCCACTCTATTCTTCTCATACTGGGCAGGCCTGGCTTCCCTTTTTTAAAATACATGACAATAAGGGACAAGTAGAACAACTGAGGCAGCAGCCTGTTGAAATGGCTTGCAAAGCAAGCCAAAGGATAAAAGCCATTAAGAGAACATGCTCTACTGTCTTCTAGTTCAAGGTTTCTGCCATGTAACAATAGCAACAAATAGGACAGGCAAACCACAAGAATTCATGAAAAATGGTTTCTCGATACTGTTTGGAACCATACCAGTGGGTAGATACCTAATATGTTTTAGCGCCAAAATGACCAATGAATTCCTTTCTATTTACACTCAAATCCTTCATGGTATAACGTTAGTCATTGTCCTTTACACGGATTACTTCCAAATTCTAGCCACACTTTCCTTCCTATAGTTTTGAGGTCACCAGACTAATATTCCTCAATGGTGATAATCTAATTATATAATTCCTTGGCCTCACATTAGCTTAAATACGTCTATAAAGTGAAATGTCTTGTTATCAACTATTTGGATGCCCCAAAGTACAGTTCTTTTTTTTAGTTTTAATTTTTTTCTTGATACAGAGTCTCACTCTGTCATCCAGGATGGAATAGCATAGCTCACTGTAACCTTGACCACATGGTCTCAAGCAATCCTCCCACCTCAGCCTCCCAAGTATCTGGGACTCTGCAGGTGCATGCCATCATACCCAACTATTTTTTTATAGAGATGGAGTCTTGCTATGCTGTCCAGGTTAGTCTCAAATTGGCCTCAAACAATCCTCCCACCTTATTTTTCCAAAGTGCTAGGATCTCCAAATCCTTCCAGATTAAAAAAAAAAGACAAAGTGCTAGGATCACAGGGATGAGCAGCCACCATTCTTGGCCTCAAACAGCAGTTCTTATAGGAAAGGCATGATAAATGCTTGATTTCCCCCTTTATTTAACAATTTTCAAAATAATGAGTTGGGTCCCTACCATTTTCCAAGTGTGATAAAATGGCTAATAATAGCCAGAGTGATACACTATTTTATCTATTTTTCTTTTATTATAGCCCTCATACTAGGATGGCTACAATAAGTTTAGATCAGTTTTAGGCTGTGACTTTTAGAAAGCCCCCTACTAGGAGGCCTTTAATAAAAGAAAAAAAAAAACCCAGAAAGTATTAGGGAGGATGTGGAGAAACTGGCGTCCTTGTGCACTGTTAATGGGAATGTAAAACTATGCAGCTGCTGTGGAAAATAGTCTGGCAGTTCGTCAACAAGTTAAACACAGAATTACCACATGATCTAGCAATTCCACCCCTAGGTGTACACCTCAAAGAATTAAAAACAGGTGCTCAGGGTTAGATACTCTGGGAGTGGCAGGATCCCTTGAGCTCAGGAGTTCACAACCAGCCTGAGCAGGAGTGAGAGTCCACCTCTACTGAAAACACAAAAATTAGCCAGGCATTATGGCAGGCACCTGTAGTCTGAGCTACTTGGGAGGCTGAGGCAGGAGGATCCCTTGAGCCCAGGAGTTTGAGGGTGCTGTGAATTAGGCTGCAACCATGACACTCTAGCGTGGGGCATCAGAGTAAGACTCTGTCTCAAAAAATAAAAATAAAAATAAATAAAATAAACGAAATGAAATGGAAACAAAATAAGATAAAATACAAGTGCTCCAACAAAAACTTACACATAAATGTTTATAGTAGCAATAATCACAAAAAGCAAAAGATAGAAACAACCGAAATGTCCTTCAACTAATGAATGGATAAATTGTTTTTTAATTTATTTTTTTCTTTTGCAATTTTTGGCTGGGGCTGGGTTTGAACCCACCACCTCTGGTATATGGGGCCAGCGCCCTACTCCTTGAGCCACAGGTGCCACCCTGTGGATAAATAAAATATGTAGATCCCAACAATAGAATGTTATTCAGCCATAAAGAAGAATGTACTGATACACGGTACAAAATGAATGAATCATCAAAACATTATGCTTAAGGGAAAGAAGCCAGACACAAAAGGCCACGTACGGTATGATTATATTTATACGAAATGTCCAGAATAAGGAAATTCAGAGAGACAGAAAGTAGATACGTGGTGGCAAAGCACTATGAAGAGGAGCAATAGGATGAGACTACTAATGAGTTCAAGGTTTCTTTTTGGAGTAATAAAATCTCTTAAAATTAGATGATGGTAATAATTGCACGAAAGAGTATATACTAAAATCCACTGATTTGCACCTATTCAAGGGATAACTATTACGGTATATGAACAAGATAATATTATAAATAACCTTATGCCAATATATTTGCGAACTTAGATTAAATGGATAAATTCTTTGAATTACCAACCAAAACTAACAGAGTAGTCTCAAGAAGAAATAGATAACCTGAATCATAGACAATTGTTATTGTCATTTTTGAGACAGAGTCTTACTATGTTGCCCTTGGTAGAGTGCTATGGCGTCACAGCTCACAGCAGCCTCAAACTCTTGGGCTTAAGTGATTCTGTTGCCTCAGACTCCCAAGTAGCTGGGACTACATGCCTCCCCCCGCCATAACACTCAGCTATTTTCAGTTGTAGTCGTCATTATTGTTCGAACCCAGGCTGCATTCGAACCCGCCAGCTCTGGTGTATGTGGCTGGCACCCTAGCCACTGAACTATAGGTGCCAAGCCCATAGAAAATTATTATGTAATTTAATTATAGTTTATTTAATAACAGCAGACTAAAACTTAAATTTATAATTCATAACATATGCAGGCCCAAATTGCTTCATTGATAAATTCTACCAAATAGTTAAGGAAGAAATAATGCCAATTTTATAGAAACCCTTCTAGAAGTTGAAAATGAGGAAATATTTCCCAAATTCTTCTATTATGGCAACATATTTTGATACCAAACCCAGTCAGACAAGAAGAGAAAATCTCATGCCAATGTCCTTCATGAATATAAATGCAAAAATTCATTTTTGAAAATTAGTATATAAAATGATAATATTCTGTGACCAAGTGGGGTTTATCTTGGGATGCAGTGTTGGTTTAACATTCAAAAATCAATCATAATATCAACAGATCAAAAAAAAAGGAAAAGATATCTTGACAATTTGGTGGGAGTATTATTTTCCATAGATCTATATTGGCAAAATCCTTTAAACCTAATTTGGAAGCACTAATATGTTTCCTTTTCCATTTCTGTAGATTACTTTATAAGTCAGAAAAAAAAATCTTCTAAATGTTTTATACTTGATCTTAGCCAGAGGCCAAGAAGTTATGTCTATATGTTTTAGGTAAGGTTTGCTATTTGAAATGTTTATATTCTTTTATCTTTCATCATTTCATTAAAGAGACAAAATATGTTTGACAATAGTTGATTTATTTCTGAAAAATTACATAAAGCTCCAAATTTAGGCAAAGGAACCATATACTTGGAAAAAATTATTTAAGAAGTTTTGTGATATATTTTTTAAAAAGCAAATAATCCCTTATCTAGTTATAATACCTTATTAGTTCATGCATTTTAAATTTCATTTGCTTTTAAGTAGGAAGAATCCACTTTTGGCACCTCAAAGAGTTACCTCCTGGTCAGGGGCAGTATCTCTTGGCCAGGTGCAGTGGCACACGGAGCACTCCGGGAGGCAGAGGCTGGTAGATCACTGGAACTCAGGACTTCAAGACCAGCCTGAGCAAGAGTGAGCCCCTGTTTAAAATTAAAATTAAAAATAGCCAGGTGGCTTGGCGCCTGTGGCTCAAGTGGCTAAGGTGCCAGCCACATACACCTAAGGCGGTGGGTTCGAATCCAGCCCAGGCCCGCCAAACAACAATGACGGCTGCAACCAAAAAATAGCCCGGCATTGTGGCAGGCGCCTATGGTCCCAGCTACTTGGGAGGCGGAGGCAGGAGACTCGCTTGAGCCCAGGAGTTGGAGGTTGCTGTGAGCTGTATGTCACAGCATTCTACTCAGGGGGACAGCTTGAGGCTCTGTCTCAAAAAAAAAAATAGCCAGGCATTGTGATGGGTGCCTGTAGTCCCAGCTACTTGGAAGACTGAGGCAAAAGAATTGCTTGAGCCCAAGAGTTTGAGTTTGAGATTGTTGTGGACTGTGATGCAACTCTACCAAAAAGAATTATCCTCTATCTTCCCATTTCTCATCATTATTATGTTTATGAATCTAAATTCCTATCTTTGGAATATCATTTTCTTTTCTTTTTTCTTTTTTTTTTTTTGAGACATAGCCTCAAGCTGTCCCCCTGAGTAGAGTGCTGTGTCATCACAGTTCACAGCAACCTCCAACTCCTAGGCTCAAGTGAGTTTCCTGCCTCTGCCTCCCAAGTAGCTAGGACCACAGGCACCTACCACAATACCTGGCTATTTTTTGGTTGCAGCCGCCATTGTTGTTTTTGGCGGGCTCAGGCTGGATTCGAACCCACCACCTTAGGTGTAT